TGTGTGTGTGTGTGTGTGTGTGTGTGTGTGTGTGTGTGTGTGTGTACATGTGTGTATGTCCATTCCAGGTCATCATTTTCTGGTGGGAGAGACTCATCAGGGCTGCTAAGCTGCATTTGAAATGAAATGTTTAAATCATGACTCAGGCTTTTCTTCATTTGAGACAAACTCATCAAGGCCTCTCCACTATGGAGCTGAACTGAAAAGAGGAAACCTTGCCAGGAAAGGAGGTTCATAGGAATAGCTCCTACAGTTAGACCACTAAGACAACAGATTATTAGCTGGACCATAGTTGGAATGGACATGAGAATATAGAATGTTAGATATGTAAGGAACCTAGACATTATTGGCTGGTCCGCTGTTATACTTAGAACACGGAATGTCAGAGCTAGAAGGGCTCTTAGAACACAGAACATAAGAGCCATTAGGGACAGTAGATCACAGACTGCCAAAGCTGGGAGGGACCTTAGAACACAGAACGTCAGAGATAGGAGGGACTTTAGAACATAGACTGTCATAGCTGAGAGGGGACTTAGAACACAGAATGTCAGAGCTGGCAGGTGGCTTTGAACATAGAATGTCAGAGATAGAAGGTCTTCTATTCCAGTGGTGTCAAACTTAAATAGAAACAGGGGGCACTCATGTATATATAAGGATCTGTGTGTCCTATATTGACTTAGTTTTAAAATGTAATGATATCTCTATTTTCTTGTATTTTTATTTATTTTGCTAAGTATTTCCCAATTACATTTTAATGGTACTGTGATAGGCTGCTTGCGGCCTAGGACCTATGTGTTTGACACCTCTGCTGTAGATCACAGAATGTCAGAATTACACCCTCTCATTTTAGAGGAGTAAAGTGACTATGGCTGGTAGGGCAGCTATATGGAGAAACAGATAGAGCGCTGGGCCTGGAGTCAGAAGACTCATCTTTGAGCCCTCTCCCCTTCCCCCCCACCTTACTAGTTGTGTGACCCTGGGCAAGTCACTTAAGTCTGTTTACCTCAGTTTCCTCTTCTGTAAAATGAGCTGGAGAAGGAAATGGCAAGCCACTCTATTATCTTTGCTAAGAAAACCCCAAATGGGGTTGCAAAGAGTCAAAAGGACTAAATAATGACAACTATATTCCTGGTACAGTGCTAGGTGCTAAGTGATGAGGTTTAGGGTTTCTGGGAACCCCAAAATATCAGGATGAAGAGAGGTATCCGCCTGAAAAGAATTCACACACTCAAATCATCTTTGAAAGTGGCAAGGTTTATAACTTAAGGGGGGTGAGACTGATGTTTATATACAAAAAGGACCGTGAAAGGCTCTGGATGGGATTAAGGAGTAGTAAGTCTGGGGTGGGCCAAGTGCAATGGTAAAAGGAATATTAAATAGTCTGGGGTTGGCCAGGAGCTACAGTGAAAGGACTGTCAAGTAAGCTAGTTAAGTGACCTAGGAGGACTGGGTCGGCCAGATGCCTTGGGTGTAGGTGCCAGTGATCTGGGCTACTGACATGTATGGGAAAATTCAGGACTGGGTTGCTTTCAAAGGCATGGTCTTTTCCTTTGAGGGGTCCAGGTCCCATCACCCCATCACTGGAGACACATTAAAAGGTATCTGGGAACTCAGTCTTAAGGGAGAGACAGCATGCAAACAGCTATGTACAAACATAGATTATTCGGACAGTTGTACGTGGTATGACTTGGAAGAAGAGACTGGTGGCAGGGAGATCAGTTGAGCTGTACCAAGAGTCCAGAAGAGGTGACTGGGACTTGAAATAACAGTCACTGTGGGTGAACAGGTGTACGGTGTATATGAGATGGAGAGGCAGGGGAGGATTTTGAGAAGGGGGGGGGGGGTGGGGGATTCCAAGAGGAGAGAGGGAGACAGGATGAGATGAGAGGATGGGGTGAGGGATTGATTTTGGTGGCAGAAGAGACCACCAGGGCGACGTGGGGAAGGGCAGACATAAGAGAGGATGGAGTAGGTATTTCCGGCCAGAATGGGCTAGAGTAGCCTAGGCAGAAAAGGCGATAAGATGGAGGAACTGATTTATTCCAAGGAATGGGGGGAGGGAGTGGGGTGGAGAGAAGGAAAGGATGTGGGTGGGGAAGGCGAATTGTAGGCGAGGCAGAGGAATATTAGCGAATGTGAACGTAACCCTAACGTTTGGCGAAGCCAGAGTGTAGAGATGACATGCTGGGTAAGGGGGAGGGAGGACAAGGTGGAGGGGAGCAGTATTGGGAGGAGATTCTGGCGCGTCCGGATCCGGGAACGCCCAGGCCCGGGCTTAGGCCTCTGGTTGTAACCTGGCAGAGTGAAGGGACGGTGTACCCCTACTTCTCAGTGGCGCTGGGAGGGCCAACTGGGATAACCCACGTTTTAAAGCGCTTGGCGAACTTCTTGCGCTCCAAGAATGCCAGCATTATTATGATTATTTCCAGGGGCTGGGCGTAGACCACGGTGGGCGGGTCGGTAGGGGGGCGGAGGAGGCGAGCGACGAATTCGAGATTCGTGGCACACCTCACAGGCAGGAGGTGCTCGGGAATGGGTGGTTTGGAGGGGGTTGTTCCACAGGTTGAACACTCCCGCCGCCGTTGAAACCGTTCGGGTCCGGGGTAGTTTGTTCGGACCGCGCGCCGGCCTCGACCAAACCCCGCCCGCTCCTCTTTGCTCCGCCCCTCCCCTCCCCTCCCGCCACACTCTTCATGGCTGCCCTAGCGCGCGCCACCACCGCTTCCCCCGCCGGCCCTGAGGCCGTGGCTCTGCGCGCATTCTCCGCCCTCTCCCTTCGCGCTATCATTGGGCAATTTCACCTTGGTCACCTTCTATTGGCCCACTAGGTGTAGCGTCAGTTTCTCCCGTCTTTGCTCCTCCTTGCCCTCCTCCCTCCGTCCCGCCCCTTCCCCATGCCCGTCAACTCCTCCTCCTTTTCTCCTCCCCGGCCCCACCCTCCTTTTCCACTTCGGGTCGGGCAAGGTGGCTCGCCCGGGAGTGAACATAGAGCCTGGGAAACTGGGGAGCAGGGCAGTGGGCCGCGAGCGCGCTCCCGACCACCAGCCCCGCCCGCGCTCGCGCACGTACGCGGCACGTCACGCTGTCACGCTCGCGCGCCTCGGCGGAGAGGCTCGCGCACTTGAGCAGGTTCGGCTGCGGCGGCGGATCTCCCGGGGCTCTCTGGGGCAAGGGAGCGAGGAGCGGCTGCGGCGCCGTCGGTCCCCTCCGCTCATCTCCCTCGGCTAGCCGGTAGTGCGGAAGGGCGGCGCCGCCTGCCGCCTCCCCTCCGAGCCGTGCGAGGCCGACTCCAACCCCACCCCCCGCCTGTCGCTGCCGCCCGTCCCCCCACCCCCTTGTCGGTCCGTCTGTCTCCACCCGCATCTTGGCAGGATTCCCCCCCCCACGCTTCCTGCCTCTCCTCCGCCCTACGTGTGTGGGGCTGCGGGGAGCCCACGGGGCTTGAGGAGATCGCTGGGCTGAGGCGGCGGCTCCGGCTCCAGCTCCGGCTCCATCATGTCTGCTGGAGGGGACTTCGGGAACCCCCTGAGGAAATTCAAGCTGGTGTTCCTAGGGGAGCAGAGCGGTGAGTGAGCGGCGTCTGCCGCCCCCTGCCCTGCCCTGCCCTGCGCTGCGCTGCGCTGCGGGGCCTGCCCGGCCGCGCTCGTCCGCCCGGGCTCCTCCTTCCCCTGGCTCCGGCCGCTGCCCCGGGCAGCCGTGCCTCTCCCCGCTCTGCCCCCCGCTCCCTCTCCTTCCCATTCCCTCTCATTGAGTCTCTCTCCGTCTCCCCCCCCGCCCCGGGTCGTCTTCTCCCTGCCTCTGTCTCCGTCTGTCTCTGTCATTCTCTCGGCCTCCCTGCGTCTGTCTGTCTCGCCTCTCCCCCTCCCTCTTCCCTCCTTCTCCTACCCACCCCCTGCCTTTCCCTCCTCCCTTCCCGTCTTCTCCGGGCCTGCTGCTCCATCTCGCCCTCGACTCCCCGTCTCTCTTTCTGTGTCCGTTTTCGCTGTGGAAGAATCTGCCTTTCCCCAGCTCCTTTGCCTGCAAACAGAAGCCGACTCTAAGTTCCTACTATGTGCAGGTGACTGCCAGACCTGGGGGATGTGTGTGGAGCCGGCTCTCAAGCTCACTCTGCCCAGCTGCGTGCTGCTTTTCTCGGCTTAGGTTTTCCCGTCTCTCTTACGCTTGGGCTGGTCTTTCTCCTGCAGATCGGCTCCTTCTACTTGGACGCCCACCCTACCTTTCCCTGTGTCTCTCCTGCACTGCCCAGTCTCTTCACCCATCCTTTCCTCCTTCTTCCCTTATCGAGGTTCCATAGTCTAGGTCTCTTATTTGTCTCTATTTCTCTTGGCCCTCCCCGTTGGCCCTGGGAGCCCGGCGCCTTTATGTGACCCACCTTAGGTAGAGGCTTTATAGGAATCGGGGTGGGATCTGGGCGTTGCCCCTTCCTCCTTCCCCCTCATGTGGTCTTTGGAAATGAGGATCGTGTTGTATGTGCCTGAGGATGGGGCGGGGGCTGGTATGGCTTTGGATTGCTATCTCCTTGGGGGGTGGGGTTGGGAGGGTTGGAGCAGAAATCACCCGGAATTGGGCAGTGATATTAAGGGTTTTCGTAGGTGGCACTGCCCTTGGAGATAGAAGGGTTAGGCAGTGACATATTACAAATCTCAAAATTCTTCTCTTGACTTTCCATTTCCTCACTTAAGATTTTTTGGTAGTTTTGATTGTTTTTCCCCCCAGTCACCGCCTGATGCCTTGTCATGATCCATTTACCTGGAATTTCTCACCTTTCTTTTCCCTCTTTTCTCCTCCCAACATCAAGCAGTGTCTGATTCTCCTGCCCATAGGGACCTATGGGTAATCATTAATTATTAATTTCTATTAGAATATTTTCCAATTATAAATATGTTGAGGATTCTTGTGAGAGATGGTTTGATACAGGTTGTGTTGAGGAAAAAATTGACTGCTAACCAACATGTTTTTTGAGGGGATAGGAAGGGATGAAGCAGAGTGTCAGTGATCTTGTTATTTAAATTTTAAGAAGTGATACTTAGCTGAAATTTTAAGTGGCTTAATGCTTAAGTCTTAAGTATTAATAATTCCACAAATAATGTTTCCTTTCGGTATTTGTCTAGGTTAGTTCTCTGAATTAGCCTACAAGATTTTCATTTTTTAGTGGTTGTCTCCAAGGTTACTTTTTGTAGCAATTTGTTTTATACTATAATGCAGTTTTATAGCATGAACTTGATACCTAATTATTTAATTTGGAGATAAGAAGGATTATATATCACCTATTTCTCATTAGTCAGTTTCACCCATTTTTATCTTTAAAAGTCAAGATGTTGAGAAAATTAGTGTCTGACATAGAAAAGGTTGGAAGACAGATGCTAATACCAAATTCAGAAATGTAATTTGCACCTAGAACCATACATTTGGAACTTCTGTAGCCCCAAAATGGATTAGCATCAGTTGAAGTGTCCCTCAGATTTTTGTACCTCATTTCATGAACCTAATCGAGAATTTTTTTCTTTCTTTATGAGCAAATTATTGTTTTTCTTATATATCGAACAGAAAATGTTTGGCTCATAAATTTACAGGAAGCAAGTTTAGGCTTGTTTTTAGGTGAGTTACCTGGTATTAGTATGTATGATAGTTGCTGGTTCTGCCATTTTATAGCATTTTGGGGACTAATATGAGTATAAAATAATCTTCTCAAGTAAATAGTGATGTGTAGACTGTAAAGTGCCTCTTGTGCACTCTGGGGATGCCATTGCCTGCCTCTAGGTGTGATGCAATGCTATTTAGTTTGCTTGAAAAAGCCATTAATTTATGTCTGTCCAAGGAAAATTTTAGCCTCAAGTATAGGTCTTTTTTTTACTATTAAAATATGAGCAGAATTTTGGGGGTGATGCTGTTTTGATTCACACTATGTTTTAGGGCCTTAAATTATTATTATTATTATTTTTTTTTTTTGATTATGCAATGGGGTTAAGTGACTTGCCCACGGTCACACAGTTAATACACGTTATGTGTCTGTGGTTGTATTTGAACTCAATTCCTCTTGAATCCAGGGCGGGTGCTCTATCTCCTGTGCCACCTAGCTGCTCCAGGGCCTTAAATTCTTAATATTAATCTAAATAGATCATATTTTTCTTTGTAGGCTCATGCTTTTTATGTTATAAAATTTTAAGTTAGGTATTAGTTTGAGCTGAAAATACAGCTGTCTTCAATTTAACATGAACGATTTAGGTTCTTAAGGCATATTTGCTTTCTTCTCTCCATATTAACAAAAATTTTATGAATTGATGCTACTTTTTTTATGATGATGAATTACTTTTAAGTCTTAGAATTCCAGAGTTCAGTTTCTAGTTATCCTGTTGATATACTATACTGCAGTGTGCTATGTTTCATATATAGTAGCTCAGTAAACATACTAGTAGCCTTTTATAGTGAAGATGTTGCCACTATATTCACTATTCACTATATGAATTGTGAGTGTTAAGTCTAGGACTATGATACTTTGTGGCTTTTGGTTGTCATTGTTTACAAAGGACATAAAATAGGTAAGTAATGGTGATGATAATAGTTTGCAATTTATATAGTGCTTAGTTTTGGGAGGAAAAAGTGCAAGTGTTGGTGTGTTTCATAAGATTTTTCCTTTTCATTAAGTTTAGAAAAAAATATTTGAGACTTGTTAAAGTAAGTCATTGATTAAGAGAGATTGCTACATTTTTCTTTTTTTTCCCTCTAGGATACTATATGGCATATTAAGTGATGTTACAAAGATGTGTAGAACTGATGGGATATTTAGGAGACTGTACATTTTGTATATAATTTTTAAAGTAATCACAGGTACTGTATTTCAAAGACAAAAATTGTATATAAAGTTGTAGATAATAGTTAACTTTTAAAGTTTTTTTGATGCATTTTATTTTTACATCATGGTCAGTTAGGGTGGATAGAGTGCTGCGCCTAGAGTCAGGAAGACCTGAATTCAGATGTGGTCTGAGACACTTACTATAACTGTGTGACCTTGGGCAAGTCACTTGCAACACTCCTTCCCTCCCCATTTGCCTCATTTTCCTGATCTGTAAAATGGGGATAATAGTAGCATTTACCTTGAAGGGTTGTTGTGAGGATGAAATAAGGCAATATTTGTAAAGTGCTTAGCATAATGCCTGACACATAGTAGGTGCTATATAAATACTAGCTGCTATCATCATAGTCATCCTTTCCCAGTATCTTGCTTCTCCTTTCTACATAGAAAAATGGAGCAAAAAACAGCACAGTAAACTTCATCTAAAAGCACATGCAAGAGCTTATGCATCTGTAGTCCCCAAACTCTTCCTAGAGGAAGGAAGTGGATTTTATCATCAATTAGCAATTCTCTGGGACTAAGATCGTTCATTACAGTTAATCATAGTTTTGTCTGCATTTTGTGTTATTTTCATGTACATGGTTGTAGTTATTGTATGTATATATTGTTCTGGGACTGCTAACTTCATTCTGTATCAGTTTATAGAAATCTCATGCTTCCTTGATTTCTTCCTGTTTATAATTTCTTATGGTGTGTTAATATTCCATTACATTCATGCAATGCAATTTATAGCTAACTTTTGTACATGTTAGACAAAGTAATTTTCTTTAAAAAAAATATGGTTTGCATTTTTTACATGATAGTTGGTGGGACTTAATGAAGCTCTAGTGATGTATACTATTAATTCTAAAATCATGTTGTTGAGTGAGTTGTTTACTCTTTTTATTTCTGCACCGTTTTCTTGAAAGTCAGAAGTGCTTTGGCATCATGCTTATGACAGGTTCTGCAGCATATAAATGTCATCACTCATGAATCAGTACTTTTGCTGAAGTGGAGAATCATTTATTATGTACCTCGTTTAACCTAGCATCTCCTCATTTTTCCAACATTGTTTGCCTTTCCAGTTTATCCATCCATTGCTCTTTTTAGTTGCAACATGATGGGTAGGGAAAAGTTGTAAAGTACTGCATGAGAGATCTGCTAGTGTTGATTAGTTTGTGTTTTATTGATAATGGAAAGTCACTTGCAATAAATGCTGAAGGAATTTAGGACTTTACAGAAATGTTTTCCAGATTTGTTAGAGTTGTAATGAAAATAGGAAGGAAATAATAAACCCATCCCTAATCTTCCAATTCACTCATCTCTTTAGATCCTATGACCCTACTCCTTCATTCTACCTCAGCCACATATAAGGATGGTCACACACTGGATCTCACCATTACCTGTAAGAGTTTCTCTTCCTTAACTAAAAATTGACATTTTTCTATCTGACCGTAATCTATTATTCCATCTTTTCCTAGGCCTCACCTATCCTAAATCTATTATTCACTCTCATGATGACCTACAGACTCTCTCCCTCTTAGTACTTTCTCAGGCTGTTACACCTGCTTTGACTTCACTTCCCTCTGTTTCACAAATCTTGACCCTAAAGTTAGCCAATTCAATTCTACTCTGTCTTCTACTGTCCTTGTCCCCTTGTCCTCCTTGCTAAGCAGCCCTGGATTCTTCCCACCATCTGCCACCTCTGCTTCTACTCATATATTGCTGAACAG